TCTGAAAACTTAAAGAATTTTTTTTAGAAGAATATTAAGAATGAATTTAATGATTCTTTAAAATAAAAATTCTTCATAAAATTCACCAACTTCTCTCATTTTTTACAAAACATTCAAAAGTAGAACAAAAAAATAAAACAATAGGTAGTATTATTAACCAGACAAACACGAATTTAAATAATGCAAACAAGTTACAAATATTTACATTCTGACGTAAAAGTCCTTCAATTTCGAGAAACTTAAGATTTCATTTTTGAAGAAAAGTAAACAAGGCATCTCTTGTTTCACAATAAAGTTGATTAAAATGTCCCCACTAGATTATTCTAACTCATGAATGAAAATAAAAAAAATAAACATGAATGTCTAAGTTGTGAATAATGAAACGTAGCAGAAAGTTCATATCATTCTAAAGATGCGACTGAGTGATTTGTTGAAGAGCGGAAGGATGCAAGAGGAGGAAGAGGAGGCGGAGTTGGATGAAGTGATCGCTAGTGATCTTGGCCCACTGAACACAACGATCATCTCTTGCTTAAATCATCATTCCTAAATTAAACAGTTCACAAGAGAGCAGACAAGAATTCACGTGCAGCACTTTTNAAAAAAAAAAAAAAAAATTAAAGCGCAAATCTATTTTTTTAACAAAATGCTTCACTTTATTTTAAAAACAGCGCGATTGTCTGTTATAGAAAAAAATGATCATTTTACTATTTAACGCATAGCAGACCGGCAACTTTTCTGAAAATTTCCCCATGTGCCCGGCTATTTCTTTCGAAAGCGTAGAAGTAAAATTATATAAATAAATTTTAAATTTTTTTACTTATTATTCAACTCTTAATATTTCTTTTTCGTATGATAAAAAGTATAACAATCATCTACGTGTAATGGTACACCACAAGTTTTGCAAATATTCGTAAAGTTATAATAAATTGGTATAGAATTAAATAGTAAAACTTAAAAAGTAAGGAAAATTGTGATCACTTTTTAAAATAGTCACCACAAGATCACTGGTAATAAGATTGCTATGACTCGTGACCGGTCATCAACGCTTGGCCACGAGAACACGAGTTAACTCGTGACCGGTCGTCAACGCTTGGCCACGAAAACACGAGTTAACTCGTGACCGGTAAGCAATGTGTTAACATTGTTGTCCAAATATCTCCTTTCATTCAAAAAATTAACAAAGAAATGCCAACATTCTTCTACTATATTCATATTATAGATTATGCAAAGATGGCGATTTGCTCCATTTTGTGGGCAAATTTTTTCAGACTTGGTAAGTCTTTTAAAGTGGTGAACTTATCAACAATTTGGCAGCTTAAATCAAGGTTCTTACGGATCTAAAAATAAAAAATAAAAATGGTTAAGAAAATTAAACAAGCATTGAAGTTTTATTACAATTGAAACTATCTTCAATAATTGTTTTAACAAAGATTAAATATCTATTTTACAATTTCTTCTTTTGTTAGATTTCTAAATGTTAAAGTAGAACCTTAAGAAGATAATTTAGCATTGATGTATATTTATTACAACTTCTGAAAAGTCATTCAAAGTTCAAGGAAACTTTAAAACGGGGTTATCAATTTTCAGAAAATATAAAGTTTCGTTTTTCTTTCCAGTGCCCACCTGGAGAATGACCTTTGCCATACAAGCATCTAAACGGCAGATTTGTCGGCCACTCTTTCCGGGGCACCACATTAGGTGGGGCAACGTTGCTCCCACTGTAAGGACAGATAGTACAGAGAACGAAAGAACATCCATGCCTTGCCCCGGATTCGAATCTAGAAACTTTCTGATGCAAGGCCAGTTTCCTGACAACCTACACACGCCGGTTGGCTGAAAGTATAAAGTACTGACAATAAAATATTTCATTACTATCTTTTCTTCAAGAGAACTAAGCTATTAGTGACTACCACAACTTATTAACAGTTAAAACATATAAATTTTTTGATCAAATCATTCTCATTATATTACAATACATTATTTATTCTCCATCGACATCATTACAGACGCTCACGGGCATTACCTGAGATGAAGAAGTCAATTGTCCGCTTCGCGAACAGGCACTTTATTCTCAACTCCAGTTCAAGTTACATTATTTATTATTTAACTTGATATAGTGTATGACATTAATTTTCCCGCAATTCTCCTAGTATAAAATTTTTTACAATACCAAATTGTTTTTTACGCATTGCATTTATTATCACGTTGAATGAGAAAAGTGCCGCAAGCGGACAGAGTTGTCCAGTTAACAAATTCAGTTCAATTCACATTACTATTAATGTATACAGATAGTTGGATTCAATAAAGGATAAAACGAAAATATTCTTACTACCATCAGATATATATCAGACGCCGAGAACCAAACACCGAGATAACCCCAATATCCAGCAATTAAACTATAATTCAAAACTATCACTCAAAACAAAACGAACCCTCCAATGTATTCGACCGATCATCAGCTACGCAGCCCCTGCATGGAGCACAACCACTGTTAGTCAAAAAAAGAAACTGGAGATTACTCAAAATAAATTCCTCAGATATATCACAGGAGCCCCTAGATCCATGAGAATGAAAGATCTAAGACGAGAGTTAAAAATCAACAAAATAGATGAGCACATAGCTGAACTATGTGCAAGTTTCTTCAGAGATGCACTCTCTTGTCATACGTGCAATTACTTTAAAAATTTTGATTTTGAGCTCATCAAAGACAACATAAAATATAGCCCGGCAACCGCCTTTTTCCTATCCGACGGAGTTTTTTCCCGTAAATTTTGTAAATACTTGTAAATACTTGTAAATAATTTTGCACATTTATTATGTATTTCTCCTTTTCCCTGGGGCTATGTGGCTACTGTGCACCTGAGAAGCTCGGGGGTAATAACTCGAAGGGAGGCGAGGCAGTCTGTCACAAAACCTCTTCTCTCTCTCAAACTTGTTTGTTCAATCTCACTACTTCATTTTAATTTTCTCTCAGTAAAAGATACTGAACCCCAACTTTCACCTTTCAGTTGCGCTTCGGCGATTTATTATTTATTTCCACTCAGATGAATTAGTTAGAGCCCCTAGCGGGGCTGATGCTAAGATAACCAACACATATGAGTATGAGTAATATCCAGCAATTTAATTTAGCACTTAAAGTTAATGCCAAATATTCCTAATTTTTTAGTAGATTTTATTCTTGTTTTTAATGTAGTAGCAACATTTTTGCATTCATGCTTGATATCTGTTTTAATAAATTTGATTTACGTTAACTACCAATACGCTTAAAAAGTTTAAACATACGCAAAGAGAACCAGATAGATATCTTAATGTGTTTTACGTGAAGACGAAACATGGTACCCAAGGTCCTTGAAAAGTTTTAGTAGTGATAGTAAATTTAAGTTAATAGTAGAAGATAATTCTTATTTTAATGCATCACTTTATCTGGTTTAGAAGGTAGAATTTTCACGCACATATGCTTTCTTTTGAAAATAATTTTTAGTGATGGTTACACAAAATTTAAAATATCGACATTTGTTTTCGTTACCACTTTTTTAAAATTTTCAAGGCCCGCGGGAGCCTTGCGAAAGGTGAATTAAGTAATTACCTACATTATCACTTCGATAGTTATTTCGCTGCTACTGAGAAAAGTTTTTTTGAGGCGAGCAAAAGTTCGCAAATGAGAATTTTTTAAATCAAAAACTGTTTTTCATTTCAAAGAAAAATCTTTCTTTTGCCATTTCAGGAGTACTCAAAGCTCACTCGAATTTTTCAAAAAAAAAAAAAAAAAAAAAAAAAAAAAAAAAAAAAAAAAAAAAANTTTTTTTTTTTTTTTTTTTTTTTTTTTTTTTTTTTTTTTTTTTTTTTTTTGGTTAATGGTTCTCCAATAAATCCGATAAATCAATTGAAATTGTATTTATTTTTTGGTAACGAATCTCCAATAAAAATTGTTTCTACTCATAAGTGGTAGTTATCTCTGCGTCAGCCCCGTGAGGAGCTCTAATTCATCTGAGTGCGAATGTATAATAAATCGCTGAGGTGCAATTGAATGGTGAAAGTTGGGGTTCAGTAACATTTACTGAGAGAAAATTAAAATAAAGTAGCGAGATTAAACAAACAAATTTAAGAGAGAGAAAGGGTTCTTGCGGCAGACTGCCTCGCCTCCCCCCGTGGTAAATTGTTTCTAAAGCTTATCACGCTTACTATATATAATTTTTTTCCCTACATTTAAAAATGGAACTTAAAAAGAACATAATTTCAAGCATAATTTACCCAGACAAACACGAGCTTAAAAAAAAGTGATAAAAAATTACAAATTTGATTCTGATGTACAATGCCATCAATTTCGAGAAGCTTAAGAATTCAGTTTTGATATTCTTAAGAATTAATTTTAATTTAAGAATTCCTTTAATGTTTTTATAATTAAAGTTGTTTATAAAATTCATCTTGTTAACTAGAATTTTTGTTGGTGTTTTGCAATTAAAAATAAAACTTAAAAATAATATAATAGCAAATATCATTTCTCCGAGATAAATACAAGGTTCAAAAATTCTAAAAAGTCGCATTCTAACGTAAAATTTCTTTGATTCTGAGAACTTAAAGGATTTATTTTTTTAGAAGAATATTAAGAATGAATTTAATGATTCTTTAAAATAAAAATTCTTCATAAAATTCACCAACTTCTCTCCTTTTTTACAAAACATTCGAAAGTAGAACATAAAAATAAAACAATAGTGAGTATTATTAACCAGACAAACACGAATTTAAATAATGCAAACAAGTTACAAATATTTACATTCTGACGTAAAAGTCCTTCAATTTCGAGAAACTTAAGATTCCATTTTTGAAGAAAAATAAACAAGGCATCTCTTGTTTCACAATAAAGTTGATTAAAATGTCCCCACTTGATTATTCTAACTCATGAATGAAAATAAAAAAAATAAACATGAATGTCTAAGTTGTGAATAATGAAACGTAGCAGAAAGTTCATATCATTCTAAAGATGCGACTGAGTGATTTGTTGAAGAGCGGAAGGATGCAAGAGGAGGAAGAGGAGGCGGAGTTGGATGAAGTGATCGCTAGTGATCTTGGCCCACTGAACACAACGATCATCTCTTGCTTAAATCATCATTCCCAAATTAAACAGTTCACAAGAGAGCAGACAAGAATTCACGTGCAGCTCTTTTTAATCTTTATTTTAAAGAGGTAAGATTTTATAATATCGTTTGCTCTGAATGTGGAAAAAAATAGTTTGCTTTAAAAGTGATAAAAAAATCGTTTGATATTTTAAAATTATTTTATTTTTAAACTATTACTACTAATATTTTAAAAACCACTTAAGATTATAATGAAAACAAATTTTTTTCTTTGGAAATGTAGATTTTTTTTAATTAGAATTCAAATACTGTAATATATGTTTTAAAATAATGTTTGTTTCGCACAGTTTCTATAATTTGAAGAAAAAGTTTGAATTCCTATTAGAATGAAAAAATAGATTGCACCAACTTTATAGCTCCAGCAACCACTGACATTTTTAAAACCAAAAAGAATATTCTAAACATTTTGATTACATATATTTTGATAGTTAATTTTTTTAAAATTTTATTTAATCACTAATTTTATTTAACTTTCATTGATTTTCTGTTTTTAATTCTGATTTGTTCTCGTTTTATTCAAAAACATCAACACACATCTTTGATATTTTATGTACAAAGTATTAATTTTTCAGCATTTTTAACTAGATTTATAATTTTATTTCTTTATTTAAAAAATTTCGTAAAATTTTAATATAAATATTGAAATATTATTTTTAAAATTGAAATATTAAATTTGAGTACATGTTCTAAAGTTTTCGAAATTTAAAATTTTATTTAATTTTAAGGTATTTATTTTAAAATTAATTAGAATAAAATACATGAAAAAGCTAAAATTTATAAAAATAGTAGTTATTTAACATTATTTTTATTTCATGTTAAAAATTACACTTTTCGCGTATTTTGCGTATTTTCTTTGGATTGTAATGTTACTGAGTATTAATTGCGAAAAGCGAATGCTGCAATTAGATATTTATGAACGATATAAAAATGATTGATTTAATTTAATTTTAGTGTTTAATATTGTAGATCATCTTATTAAAAGCCTACATAAATTATTTTTTTATTACCGTCGTTGAAAAACCGACCCAAATTTTGAGTTTACGACTACTGATGTTCAATTAGTAGCTTTGTAATTTTGCACCCAATCCAGAAGACAAGGGAACTTCTGGATGAAGTATTGGGAGATATCTTACCTTCGTGGAAAACTTTTTGATGGAATTTCCCCTCATTTGCGTTACACGGTGAGGAAAATCACGAAAACTTGCCAAGGTTAGCCTGACGGCAAGGGGATTCTCACTCATGTTCCGTCAACCACTAAGGATATTTTACGTCAGCACTGTGGTCGGTGTAAACCATGTGCGGAATTCGTATCTACCAGCCATCGCTGGGATTTGAACCCGGCTCAGCTTATTGGAAGGCAAAGGCTCTATCCTCTGAGCCACCATGGCTCTTGCATAAATTATTGTAAAAAATGGAGTTATAGTTTAAACGTAAATTGATGTATACATTTCTGATACAAATAAAAGTAACTGATATTTTGATCTCAAAACTGACTAAAAATATTGATATTTTATTCGCTATATGAAGAATATTATAAAATAAAGGTTATACACAGAAATTGAGAATAGGGTTTACATTGAAAATTTGATATCTAAGCAAAATTATAATTGTAATTTTTTTTCAATAGTTAAACGATATAAGTCAAAAATAAGAATTCACAAGTCTTGTTAAGATTTTTCCGGATCTGGTAGGATCTGTTACCTAGATTAAAACTCTATTCGACTTAGCATTGATTCAATACATATTTGCACGAAACAGTTATTATTTTATATTTATACAGGAAATTAGTTTAAAAGAAAATCGTGCTTCATTACTTAATTTTGTTTTTAAGAAATAGACTTATTCAGAAAATTCTTATTTACTGCATTATTGACACAACTGGAAATTTTATTCTAAATCTTGTATTGTACAATCATTGTAATACAAATGGTCTGGTTCTGTTATGAAATGGCGGATATTTTCTACACATCTACAAACACCTTTTGAAAAATTCCTGATTTATGACGGTATTAATTTTTATCTAATGCCTTTTTAAATTTGAAATTAAGCAAGAAAGTATTTTAATAATTTGACCAATATTGTTAATTATTACCACAAAATATTTTATTACTTCAAAAAATTCTAAAGCAAAAGACTCACTTTTTATAATATTTTAGTCCATCAGTTTTTCAAATTCTTAACCTTTATCTTTAGAATTGGCTTTTCTTCATTTTTCGTATGCAAAAAGCATAAGAAAAATCAAGAATAACAAATTATAATAATAGTAGCAATGATTTATTGTTCAACGTGATTCAAAAATAATAAATATCTTAATTCCAGATCAAAGAATTACAATAAATACCACTGATCTTTATTTCAGATAATCAAAATCAGCCTTTATAATTTGAGCAAAAATTTGAAAAATTATTTGAATAATAATTTCAGAAAATATTTCTTAAATAATTTGTGCAAGTATTTTAAAGTATCTTATTGTAAAAAAAAAACTAAAAATACTTTTTAAAGCATTAATATCAAGTTTTTTTACACTATCAATTCTTTAAATGCAGATTACATATTTTATTTCCAATTTCCATTTTTTACTAAAGAATTACGATTATGCACTTGACAATTTTTATGTTTTTTTGGGAAGATCTTTTTAGTGGTTCAGTTATATTTTGAATTAATTATTATTGCTGAGCGACAAGGGAAAAAATTAAAAGTGAAATAATTTATTCAATTCAAAATCATTTTAAAAATCATACAATATATTCAGGGTATCCAAAGAGTATGATAACGGTCAAATATTTCAAGAAATGCTCATTGGTTCAAAAATCTAAAAATACAAGTGAGAAATACTTTCAAGAGATGTATTTAAACTCAACCCCCTACCTTCAGTGCAATTTTAAACTATTGTACGAGATCGCCCATTTTTTTTATTGTAGAATGAGAATTTTCAGACAAAATACTCTAATTTGATATGTAGGCTTAATTTACAGATTTCACGACGAATTTTCATGGTTTTCTTGCTTACGTAAAGTAGTCAGTTTTTCGCAAATAGTCATTCACGAAGGTTATTTCCTTCAATATGAAATTTTTCGTCCGTCTTATAAAAAATCTGAACTAAAAATATAATTTAATTGATAAAAATTAAATTAAAATGCTGAAATTTAAATTAAAATGAAATTGAAACCCAATGAAAACAAATCGATGACATTGGAATTAAGATGACACTGGAAATGTAACGTTTGTTTACTTTTAAGATAAAATTTAAATTAAGACGAACTTTGATTAATTATTATTTTTGATTCCAGATAATTGTTTGTTGAAATATTTTTTTTAAATATTATTGTTTTCGTTTTTTTTAAATATGTATAAATCAATTGCGTAATGTTTATAATCGATCGATCAACGTTAATAATTTGTCAAATAAAGTTTAGTATAAATCATGTAAAACAATCGATTCTTATCAAAAGTTCGAACGATTTCTCGTGCATAGAAAAGTCTATTCCATTTGTTTACGAAAAGATTTTGTTTTGTCACGTATTTTGCCAATAATCTATTTTTAAACAGCGCGCGAGGAAAAAATAAAACGCCTAGAGAAGATTCCATTCTTAGTTTATTTACATCATTTTAAAATAAAAATAAAGTATTACATACTCTCCTTAAACACATTGTTTTAAAACAACTTAGTACAAAAGTTAGTTAATTAGCACTTTAGTTTCCAGTTTTTAATTAATTCCAACAAGTGTGTCCAAAGGTTTACAGTTTGAATCCATGCCATTTACACTTTAAAAGACTCGCAAACGATTTACACTTTAAATCGTTTGCGAGTCTTTTAAAGTAAATGCTTTGTTATTTATTTATCTTCCTTAATAGCGATTTTTCATTTTTTCAAAAATTTTGATAGGATTCACATAGCACCTTCGAGCTGAAAAACTTAGTGGGAGATAGCATTAAGTAAGATTCCCAAAAAAAGTACAAAGATTTAAAACATTTAACAATCTTTTGTATGCATAGAACTGGATTTTTTCTACGAAGTCATTTAATAAACATTTTTTTAACGAGGAAAAGAAGGCTTTAAATAAAAAAAGATTTTTTAAAGTTACAATAAACAGTTTTCACTAATTTTCCAAAAGAAAAAACAATGAGGTGCACTTTCTGATTGAAGAATTTATTAAAAGATAGCATCAAGAATATTTTTAAAAAGTGCAAAGTTTCATATTTAAAACAATTCCCGTGTATCTATATAAATAGAACTTAATATTTTTCAACCAGGTCATTAAATTTACCTTTTTTTAATGATAAAAACAAAGCTTTGAAAATAAGCAGATAAATAAAATAAATAAATAATATAAACAAACGAAAAAAAATTGTTTTTTAAATTTGAAAATGTGTTTCATGAATACCTTTGGGATGTTGCTATTTTGTTTTACACCTGATGTTCGCAAATTCACTAATATGTCGCTTCCATTTCATTTTTCCATTTTAAATTGTTTTTTCGGTTTCAAATTCAGGCATTGATTAGATTAATATCAGAGTTATAAGAAAGTGACAAGGTCTGCGTGTAGGCTGGCGACTTTTATGTTTTTGAACATATTTTTTGTTCGAATAAATACTTTTTGATGCGATTGGTGTCTTTTATTTTATTTTTAAAAATGTTTTATTCTATTCGCAAGCACATAAAATTTTTTGAAATTCTTATAATATGGAGCCACAAGGCTTTACTTTTTATGCTATAAAAATATGCAATCAAAATAGCTAGCTTCCAAATAGTTGTCAAAGTAAATTCTTCATCATCTTCAGAAATTAAGGTAGAAAAAGTAGACCTTTCTCGAACGCATTGACAATTCCCATTGTCAAGACGAACCGAAATCTAAGTTATGAAAATAGAACAGATTTGAAAAGACGAACGGCCCAACGAAATGAAACGAAAAAAAAAAAAAAAAAAAAATCAAATATCGGTGGTCGAAACNAAAAAAAAAAAAATGAAAAAAAAAATGTAAGGGTGAAAAACAATAGAACGAAAAGTTGCTGTTGCCGAGTATTTGAAAAGGAGCAAAGCAGATTAGA